GTTCGACAGAGGGCGGCCTTGTCGTCGTCGACCGGCTTCGTCTGAAGGAAGCGCGATTTTCATCCAAAATGGTTAACTTATGATCAATTGAGCTCAAACGTTCGCCAAAGAACTACAAATATGTTCAATTTTACGATTACAAAATATTAAGTTTTTGGAAGCACCTTCCGGAAAGTGATACACCAGGTAAATTTGTTCAAAATAATAACAGTACTAATAATTTTCATTTCAGCTTAATTTTGAGATTTTAAATTTTACATGTCTCAAAATTCTAACAATCCCCACCCAATCAACAAATGTACATAATAGTTAAAAATGTTTAAAATATTTGCAGCACGTAAATTTTCAAAATAAAACTGCTATTATTTTGAACAATTTTACCTGGTGTCTCACTTTCCGCCAGGTGCTTCCAAAATATTTAATATTTTGTAATCGTAAAATTGAACATATGTGTAGTTCTTTGGCGAACGTGTTAACAAAGTTACATTATGTCAAAGTTGACCATTTTGTATGAAAATCGGCATGCGCTGCTATTTTACCCAACACAGCTGTACATTCACACACAAGCCATCCGAAAATTTAAAGCAATTATTTCATGACTTTACATCGTATATTTTCTGGGTAAAACACCTTCTGATACCCAGTTAGGCACAGTTGTCGACTGCCAGTGCATACGGAACCCTATCAAACGCCTTACTGAAGTCCACGTAGATCTTGTATGATGGACGCGACTTACGACACTTTGGGAAAAAACACCACTTATCAGCGAACGATTGAAGATAATCGACACAGGTGTGAAGCGAGAGATGCAACAAATTATTTAACAAACAATGGCGGCAAACTGTCGAGCCCAGGACCTTTAGAAGATTGATTGATTGATTTCTTTATTATAGAGACTTTCAGACGTTCCTTTAGAAAGAGTCTACAGCTGAAAGAACGGGTTTCTTGCACTCACACATTGCATTAAGACAAACGTCAGAGTAGTCTATGGAGCAGAATCAATGCTTCACAGTTAAGCATTCAGAGATCTCTATGCAGGGTGATTCAGAATAGAGGGTCATCATTATCTCTCATACTAATTTGACGAAAATCCCGAACAAAATTGAAATCGTTATCGCGACCTCTTAACGTTGACCAATTTAGCAGATAATTTGCACGGATGTTTGTTTTTGTTTTATGAACTGAACTAGGGGGTGGCCTATCGAAAATATCAATCTTTTTCCAGAATGAAACACCCTAATGAGCCATGCATGAAAAATCCATTCAATATCAGAGCTTAGACGCATCACCAGTGCGCCAAAAGTGCAGGAACTAAAACGTGCGTGCCAGCTGTGGTTCATTTTCGTGATAAATATGGCTGGTATTTAAAGGAAACTGGAAAGAGATTTCAAAACAGTGTTCAGCCTGCTAGTTTAGTGTTCCTCCATGTCTTGATTCATTGTGCAATTTCACTGGTGCGGATCAATCACAGAGTAGCAACCATTGATATTTGCTGTCAGTCTAAGCTAAGCTATAGACTATAGCCATAAGATAGAGTCGTCCCCCTCGGAGCTAATCAGGATTCCAGAATCATAGTAATTCTGAGTAGCTCAAGTTAAATAGATATGAATGCCCTGACCTTCCCTCTTTTTCAGTAACATGATATATATTTCGATATATTGCGAAATTTTTAAACCTTCAAGATTTCATCAAATAATACAGAGAAACTAGTACCTAGTTCATTATCAATCCGAACCAGGGTGATGAAGGACCTTAAGCCACCGACCCAAAGCAATATAAATTATACGTGGGTTCGTGTCCTTGCTCATGGTATGACGCGATCGGATGAGTAGATGTCCGTAGTGTTTAACGTATTTTAAATTAGCGTCTTTGGCACGAATTTGAAAGTAGCTTGTATGAGCTGTCACGTCGGTTCGTCGGTGCTTAAACGATGCAAAAAATGATTTTACACTATACCTCAATTTTTGCTTTAAACGGAGATATTAAGGTTTTAATGTTTATGACCACCCTATCTTTGGAACCACCCTAGTGGCAATACGCTATCCATTGAGAAACTCACAACTATTTCCTAAACTGGTTAAACATCGGTAGTGCCCTAAAAACCCATATTTTAAGCATAAATTTGGCATCAGATTGTAAATGACAACTTCGGCACCCATTGACTGTTTGCCAAACCGCCATTTAACCTTTAATTCCACTGTATTTTCGTACCGAAACACTTCGCTGAATGAATTCCAACGATTCCTAAGCATATCAACTTCAATCTAATTACATTTTTACAACTGAGCAAACCTGTTATGCCAGTTTTATTATTTAGTTAAACATACGCACTATAAAATACGGCTGGTTTTGAGCTGGCCATAATACAACAGCTACGCAGTTCGAATGGATAGGTTGCCGATGAAAAAGAGCTTGCCGAGAATCGTCACACTCATCTGAGAAGTTTGGAACGTTGTAAAAACGTGTGCAAACAGATTTGGATAACTCTGTCGATTGGGATGGATAGATTGTATCAAGCAGCATATAAGGTGCAAGCAAGCAAACACGTCATATGTGAGCGTAACGCTGAGAAAATGCAAATAGAAGCGCAGACGCTGCTGAGATTGCCAAGAATACGTAAATGCAGCTATTTCAAATGTGTTCCCTTTTGCTGAAAATGCCTTTTTTCTAAGGTAAGCATGCTGAATGCTGCTAGGCTAAATGAGTCAAAGACCAAATATAAACGCTTAGATTTTTTGACGAGATTGGCATCACCGAGCAGGTTTGGCATTCATTTTTACTGAGATCTCAGCAAAATTTATGTTTTTTAGCCGAGATCTCGGCAAAATTCCCGTTTGTTAACTGAATCTCGGCAAATTTTTCACGGAGATCTAGCAAAATAGATTGCCGAGCTCGATGGCGTCCATCTCGGCAAAAAATCAATTTTGACAAACACCTTTTCGAAAATCGGAAGATCAACAACAGAGGGATTTTTGAACATTATAATTTATTTTCGAAGTGTCAAATTTAAGTGAAAATTCACCAAATGGTACACAGCATTAGAAGCATATTTGAAATGGACCGTCATAGTGTTCGACGGCATTTTCGATCTCTACACGCTAACTTGAAAGTACCCATTAATGGTTGAAAAAGACCCATTTTGAAGAAAAGTGGCTTAACTCATTAAATGAGTAAAATTTTTACCCATTAATGAGTATCTGTTACCCATTAATGAGTAATTGTTAATCATTAATGGGTAACAGATACTCATTAATGGGTAAAATTGTTTAATCATTAATGAGTTAAGCCACTTTTCTTCAAAATGGGTCTTTTTTTACTCATTAATGAGTACTTTCAAGTTAGCGTGTATGGTTCATGTTTTATATTAAATTTTAATAAGTAACTTAGGGACTTTATATGAAACGTTGCATACCTTCAGGCAATAATCGAGGACCAAGAGTCCTAATGTGATCCAATTATTAAACATTATTACTTTTCTGTAAATTTTACATGGTGGATAGATGTATTGGAATTCATCGATTGATAAAATAATAAACAACATCTTCCTGCACAGATTAGTTATAACTGTAAAAATTGCAACTTATTTTACAACTGAGGATTATTAGCTGAAAATTAAGAAATCGCCTGCAATCATATGCACAATGTCAAAAATGCTAAGAACATGTTTTATCACAATATCTCTTATACTGAATATCGAAAACACATGTTTAATCATTCAACAATTGATCACTGATTAGCATGTTACCATGATTGGTAAACTTTATGATCATAGATACCTAATAATATGCAACCAATTCACACAATACTGGTAAAGTTGCAATTTCATGGTCAAAATATTTTTTTACTCCTAATTTTCATTTCTGGACCACTGTGCAGTGGAATGAATTTCGTGGAACATTTGCTAAGTAGAACCTCTCTGTATACGTCCTTTTGAATGGTCGCCCTTGCCGGGGCCCATTTCAGCCACCCCCTTACTTCATCTCTGTCGTCTACACTGATAACAAACGTACGTTAGAACTCTGAGAAACTAGGATATTGTTTTGTTACTCAGAGAATAATTTAACCATGTCCACTCAACCTTTCATTATTATATTACCGTGCCGATTCAAATTTCGGACACTTAAACTCGAATTTCGGACACTTTTAAAAGTTGATTATCTCGGTCGAATATGATCCACATGTCTTGCAAATTTTAAATTTTTTTGACTAGTGCCCTCCACGATCATCTAACATTATTACTTTGTTTCTAACTGGATGTAATATTTAATTAAAAATGAAAGTGTCCGAAATTTGAATCGTCCGAAATTTGAATCGGAACGGTACATTTCAATCATAATAAATTGGATGTCTCTGCATAAAAATAAGACAAACTTCCTAAAGATTGACCACTTACAGAAATAAATGTATGAATGTTCACTGTACGGAGTTACATCCCTATTCCTCTTTATTAATCAAGAAGTGGACCTTTCAGTGTTCTACATTCTATATGTCGATGTCAACTAACCGAACCTTTAGACTCAAACGTTAACTGCAATAAATTCTTACAAACTATAAAACAACCAAAGGAAATTTTTTATTTGTAAATATGAAAAGTCAGCTACACAAGGCCACCCTGATCAATTCATCGCACTAGGAGATGCACTTCTGGAATGTTCCACATTTCCATCCCTCATATATTAAACATCCAGAATAAATCACTATTGAAACACGTGGTGTCGCGTGGGCGGACGACCATAGTAATGGGAAAATCAATAATCGGATGCTATTTCAACCATCCAAACCTAATGTAAGGGGCCGACCAGTGGTGGGAAACTTTTGCGTATTATCACTAGCTCGGAGCGGGTGGCAAGATTATCGATTTTTTTTTTCATTCAACCAGACTTGTCCTTGACCATGGAAGCGAACTTGATTGATAATTTCACTGAATTTACGAACAAAACAATAGACCATCAAGAATGCTTTCTTGAACTATAGTTGAACCTTTTAAAAGCAATACTTACAGTGTATCCAGCTGGTCCATCGCTGAGAACCGACGTAGTTTGATATTGATAGTCCACTTCGATATGCTTATCACTGTAGTGAACATTTGGCGAAAGAACATTCAGTGGTGAAGCCATTGTTTGGTAATTTGTAGCACAACACTTGTAACTTTTCAATATCGCACTTCAGTAGGTATCCTACGGTTTTGCTATAGGTAGCAGAATTTACTCCAAAAACCACTCCAGGAAGAACGGAAAACACGACTGATCCACACACGAGTTGGTTAAGCACTGTCTAACGTGGGTAGCAATGCTTGACTTGTAGCTTTCCTGCCGGTAAAGTGTGTTTATATAATTTCGTTTGGTATATAGAATCATCCAACTCGTGCGATACATGTGAATAGGGAACGAAAGCTGGAAGACGCTGTTGTTTGCCTGTACACATAGGTGTCAATCCAGCTATTTTATATATTGATTTAGCAACAGATGAGTTCCAACAGGCACTCAAAAGTTGTCAATACACTGGCATTATAAGAAACTATTATATACGTTATTGCTAGAGAAGTTGGCAACAAACGACAGAGGTGAATTCAAATTTGTTATTCAAACTTTAACTGCTAATTCCACCTAGATAAAGATAAGTGATCCATCATAAGCTATGCCTACATTAGGGTGCCAATGAATGTATGGGAAAAAATTACCATCGAATTTTTCAAACGGACCATATTAAATATGTTTGTTGGCTCGAAAAAAGACGCTCTGCAAAATTTGGGCTCAATGGAACGTCAAAGTTTGGACTTTTTCAAACTATCTCGAAGATCTGAAATTTAATTAAATTTTATGCCAAATGAATGGATCAATGGATTGATCGTCTATAAACAGTAGCGCCAAAAGCCTGCTGTGGTGGGTTCTTTCTTGACCATCTAAATTGATCAATTAAAAATGTATGAAACGTCGATATCTTATGTTATTAGAAAACAAATATGATGGATAAGATGGGCTAAGAGGCACCCTCGGGCGAGGGGGGCGACACATCTAAATCTCAATTCTAGATGCTCAACAAACTTCACACTAGCAAATCAAACTTCGAAAAATATTCTTTCATTTTTCGGATGTACTTGCATCGCGCATCATCTTTTTGCAGGAAATCTTATAATCGTCATCCATCTCCTTTGTATCTACTCAGCGTGCGCGCAGCTAACCACAGCAAAACACAATTTTTCCTGCATCGTAGATAGAGTCGCCCCCCTCGCCCTCGGGCCAAGATAACTTTTTGCAAATTTTCAATATATTTTCATGAATCTATCATGCAGCAGTGCTGACATTGAACTAGCAATGATCCTCGAAAAAGAGGGAAGAAGGTTTTTAAAATGCCAAAAAGTGATTTTTCCGCTTCTTAAACTATATTATTTTAAACCGGATTCGGATAGAAATCCCCATATACCTTTTGGCAAATTTCTATTGCTGATTATTCATAAAATGTACAAGTCAACTAATAAGCAGGCGCCTTGCAGTTAATAAAGATCATGTGTCAAATGAAATGTATAAATGGTCATACATACCGTTTATGCATTATTATTGGACCTATGTGATTCGTCTTATGGAATGTATAAAGCTGATGTTTAAGCAAAAATGTAAAGGTGAAACACATGAATAAAATAACAGGGCTGGTAGTGAGTCACTTTTTAGAGACTTTGTCACTTTTTTCAAGCCAGTCAGTTTTTCAATTTTTTTTAGCGTGAATTTATTTCAAGATTAATCATTTTTTTTGCTTTGTGACGTTTAATCGTCTTTCTCTATCTACAGGGTGTCTACTCATTTTTCTAAATAAAATTTCCTGAGTTTTCCATGTTTTTCCAGAACTTTAACGGATAAATTCCAGGCTTATAATAAGAAAGCTATTTTTAAAATGCGTTCAAAATATGCTTTTTCTGAAAGATCAAAAACAACAGTATTTTTTTTAAATGCGTTTATTTTTCCAGGCTCATTTGCCGTAGCTTTGCGGAGCCGATGTTCATTGTTTGGGTTACAAAATTACTTAAAACTAACGTTAGTAAAGCGGGGGCCGGTTACTCGCGGCTATCTCGAGGTTAGGAGTAACAAATTGTAACAAATGGATGGCAGGGTAGGGATTGAGAACACAGGGTTTGGAGAGCAATATGCTCTTGATCTCGAACTAAGCGACACTCTAATGAAAAAGACAAACATGGGGGTACACCGATGGGTAGCTAACAACTTGGGAGAACACAAGATGACACTAACTACTAAATCCTCAGATCTATCCGTTTTAAAAACACATAAATTAAATTTCAATAGTCGAGATCTTGGCTCGCCAAGATGTCTCTAACGGGCCGCATAGGTTGAAAAACAACAGTAGTTAACCCAAAAGTTTTGAAGACATGGCAATCAGTTTTAAAGAAACAACTTTATAATCAAATCCATTGAATGTTGAAGTTTAGCACTTCCTTAATTTCTCACTTTAATAAAGTTAAAAAAAATTAATTTGAGTAAGTCCAAGATCTAAAAATATTCAATGTCTTGTAGTTTCGTATTCCATGTACAAGTTCAAGATATTGAAAATTTTCAAAGTGCCTGAATTAAGGAAAACATTAAATGATTTATGAGGATTTTTTGAGGAATTATGAACTTGAACATAATTAACTTTATGAAAGATTAGAGGTCTTCGTTTCAGTCCCATTAACTTCACAACATAAGGGAAGTTAACACCCTGAAATTATGGGGAACTTACTGGAAGCTTTAAGATCCTTAAATCATTTTAATTTTCATTTTCATGGGAGTACAACCCAAAGCCGAGGATAAAGGACGGGTAATGGCTGAATAGTCTATGCGGACCACTTGAACGCCATGGGAAAAGGAAGGGATTGAAGAGACCGGTTATTGAGGGTTTTTGAGGAAATGACACATAGTGATGCTAAATGTAAAGAAACCGAAAATCCATCTCCCACTGATTCATCCTTTCACATATATACCAAATTGATTTTTAAAGCAATAATAAAAATAAACAGACAATACATGAAAAGGCTAGTTGCCAGTGGCTTTAAAGGCTAGTTGCCTCCCTAAGCGGACCGTCCGCATCCTAACTCTTCTGTTAATCCACTTAATGCTACTAGGCTGTCTAAATTTTCTTATTTAAGTTCGTTTGATTATTATGATATCTCTAGTCTAATTTAATAAATAATTGAAATCTCTAATCTACCTACCATGCTTTATTAAGTACCTACACTTGTGAATGTAATCTAAAATTTAACGTGTTTCAAGTTGTTTTTGACTTTGACCTATATTTAATATATATTAGTTCGTCCTAGGTGACACCTTCAAGTGACTAAAATGCTTCACTTTGAAGTAAGTTTCCTAGCTGATTTTTAAATTACATAGGGTATATGCTTCAACTACGCTCACACGCTTCCACTATGTCGCACCACAAAAATACGTATGGTTAAGTCACAATAGAAGCACGCCACAGTGGAAATCCCGAGGCATAGTTCAAACACTTATCCCAAATCAAAATGGAGCACATATAAGATTAGTTGCAATACCATGTACAAAAATGGTGTTTAACATTGTTCCCTGAGTAATACTTCAATGAAAACAACAACGAAAGCTTGTCACGCAAGTAGAAGGAGCACTGTTGGGCACTTTCTGAAATATTTCAATAGTATAATTCCCTTGCAAACCCCAATAAATCTATCTGCGTAAAAATTAATAAAATAAGAGTGATTTGCGGCAAAACCCGCCAGTATCGCACCCAACGTTGGTGCCTATACGTAAGCGTACTACAACGCGGCTTTCAAATAAAGGAGTAACAAGTGTGATACTATCACTTCAGGCTAGAACTTTGGTTCTCTTATGTAATGGTTCATCGGAGAGGGGAAGCTCAGTAATCCTCATCGCATGCTCATGACGCTATTCTGTCACGGCATGAGCCAACGATGCCGGACCTAAACCAACCGTATCCAACGCTTCACTATGAAGCATAAGATTAGGCCCGCCCACCAACGTCCAGGTTAAAAAAACTAGCCAAGGGGAGGGAAGGAAGCTTTAAGATCCTCAAGTCGGTTCTTTTAACATCCGAAAATTTTCAGGAACTTTTATGAAGTTCCTAGAATTTCAAAGCACATCACAGGTGTTAAGCGAATTTGAGAAATATACAAACCTTGAGGAGTATTGTGAACATGTTTAAGAAGTTCTAAGCACCTCAGAAAAGCTAGATCTAGAGATCTTTGGGAAATTTCAGATCTTAAAAGCAGTTCCCATGACTTTAGTTCAGACTTTTTGGAGCAGTTTAAATATCTATAATCGTAAATTTAGAAAAATGGAGAACCCTTAATATTTTCCGAGAATTTCAGGGAGGTACAGAGAATTTATAAAAAAACTTCAGAAATATTTCAGGAACTTCACAGAAGTCCAAAGAAATTCAGGGAAATTTATTTTCAGTAGAATTGAGAGCTTTAGCGAAGCTTCGAGAACATCAAGACAGATCAGAGAATCAAAGGGCAGTTCAAATAAATTCAAGAAAATTGTAGAAACCTTAAAGAAGTTCCGGAAACTTCAGCAAAGCTCCGATAGAACTTCTGGATATGATGGATATTTCAAGAACTTTAAAAAATGCGAAAATTAAGCTAAGATTATTAGAGAATATCAACAAAGTTCCATTAATTTAAAAAAAATGCGAGAGCTTTTAGCAAGCAGCGATAAATATCTTCAAGACATTCCAGAGAACTTAGAATTGAGATAATTTAATGATATTCAGCGAAGTTCCGAGTACTTCCAGGACGATTAGATAGCTTCAGAATAATCTCATTAACTTAAGCAAATTTGCAGAGACTTACAAGGAATTCCGTGGAATTATGGGGTATTCCAATAATTCTATGATTGATCCAAAAACGTCAGGGAATTTTGAATATATATATATCAGAAAAATTGCCGGATTATTAACTTCAGGTAAGCATAGGTAAGCTCAGGAAAAATAAGTGAGCGTTTTTGATGGTTAGAATAAAGGGTGTCCACGATGAAATTGCCACACTATGAAATTGCTCTAACTTTTTAACCGTTGGGTAGAATTTAATGAAAATTTGGGTGGATTTAGTTCATAGTGCATTATTTACATCCTGCAAATTTTAAAGTCCTGTGATCAAAACTCGCGGAAATGGAGTCGAAAGAACAGCTCGTGCGTGATAAAATCTTGCGCATTCATCACGAGAACAAGGATCTCTCGCATCGTTCCATCGCTAAAACGTTGGGAATCGCGAATTCCACGGTGTCGCGAGTGATTAAGCGGTTCGAGG